ATATATATATACACGTTTCACATTATATGAGTAAGGCTCTACCAGACGTCTCCTTTTAACATGCTCATATTTTTCACTAAATAATTTCTGGGCTTATCAGTCAGGATCTGATGTTCTTATGTAAGGTTTCAGCTTCTACAACATAAAAAAAAACGAGTAATTTCAGTCTGTGTTCTGCGCATGTTCAATATGGACCAAAAGAGACACTTTTTCCAAGCGGTTCTTTAGACAAATTCTCTTCATGGGTTCAGCTCACGAACAAGCTTGGGAGAAAAGCACCTGACAGCAGGCTTGCCAGTCCTGAGTGGATAAGGGCCTTATTGTGCCTCCAAGTTCGAGGGAAAACAATACTGTGAAGGGACTACAGTGCAACCATTGTGTCCGCCTGTGTGACAGTGGATCCCAGCACTGACACCAACGCCACGGCTGCAGGATTACACGGCCAGATGGAGGCGAGGGAGGAGAGGTAATGTCCTGTAAGAAGGTCATGCAATGTTGGTGAATAATGAACAAAATGGTCACAGATGTGTACACAGGCAAAAGATGCTTCGCTTGCTGGGACGCTTTTTCATTTGACTGTTTTGATTAAAGCTTCTCAGGTTCTCAGATTTCTTACTGCATCAGTTTTCAGGCGACTGATTTTGTTTGTAGCCACAGAATTTTTTTGAGATCCTAGTGCTACGTTATCAGTGCATAGCACTGAAATACATGAAAAAAGACTTTAAAAAAAAAATCTGTGAGTACTCTGAATTTCAATAAGCTGCATGAAAAATGCTCCTTCTACAACCCACAGACCAAACAGCGTTTTTGTGGAAGAGTCCACAACAGTCAAGCCTGAGTGTGGTGCCTCAGATCAGTGTCACATTCACTGTTTTGTGACACGTGCCATTGTGTGTCTGCTGAGAGTGCACTGACGTGCAGAGGTATTTTGGGAACACCAAAAAAAGCCTCAGCAGACAGTTTTGGCTGCACTTTGTCTTCTCCTCTGGTCACCATTTGACGCAGTAGAGGAGGATCCATTGTACATCACAAACCCAAGCGGTTAAAACAGAACTGTCATGGATCCACATAGCAGGAGCAGCCGGAGCAGTGTGTGGCTTCAGGAGATTATGAGGTTCTGCTTTAACTGCACAGTTTGTCTGCACAGTACGTAGAAAGTAAATGAAATGTAGCCTGAAAGTTGCAAATCCTATTTACTCTACAGATATGTAATTGTCCCAGTTAGCCTAAGTGTAAATATGTTTTTAAAAATCTGCCTCAGAAGAGCAACTGAGATACAGAAGCTGGTGTTGCTGCATGTTATCCATGCTCAAAATACAAACCCTGTGTAAGCAAGAGTGCACCAGCTCATGCTACCTTTCAGAGTTAAAGCTCGTGCTCTATTGTATTCATGTCATGTTGCTGTCTTAATGCACAATATGTAATCCTAGTCAGAAAATCGATTAAATTCAGTGTCAAATTTACCGTATTTAACCAATTACATGTTTCCAAGGCCACACGGGGTGGGTGGGGGGTATCTTTGTTGCAGATAATTTAACTCACTAATTGGGTGTGTAATCCTGTCTCTCTGAATACCCTGCAGCACTGTCTCACACCTGGGAATCTGATGACATTTCCTAAATTAACTCTGCATTTCATCTGCGCCAGCAGGATTTCAGCATTAATATTATACACAGTTATGTTCAATTTTTTTTTCAGAATTATATTCAAACTTGTGTATTAGAACAAATAACTAGCCACCATCTTAGCAATAACAGGTAATTAAAACAAAAAAAGAGCTTTTTTGTTGTTTTGCTGCTTATAGTCCCAGATATACAGTATATTACTGTGATTGTGCTATTTTTGTGTAGGTGAATTTGACATTAAGAACTTATTAACCTTACTGCTTCAATAGGAGTTAAGAGGGTAGCTCTAGATTGTTTCTCATTAAACGCACTTAATCAAGAGATCAGCAAGTGTGACCTCTTCTGTGAAAGCAGATGTTTTGGCAGTTTGCTTGTGTGGAGCACTCAGTTGCATGTTATCACAAGACACCAGCAATGATCTTAAAGATGTTTCTGTTGCTGCCCATAAATCTGGGAATAGTTATTAAAGCCATTTCCACCAATCTGAAGTCTATTATTCTGCAGCAAGAAAGAGGATTTAAAAGCGGTAAATATTCAGGAGAGCTGTCCCAGGAAAATCATCATAAGCTCAGTGCTCACAGAATGACCAAAAACCCAAGAGCTCCAGATCAGATTCTTCAGACTTCAGTTAACATTTAAAATGTTAAAGTTGGAGAGAGTACAATTTACGAAAGACTGAACAAGTATTGCTTTTTTGGAAATATTGCTTGGAGAAAAGTCAGCTGCAGTTTGCAAAGCTGCACCTTAAACCCCAAGACTTTTGGAAATTTGTCCTTCGGATAAAAGACACCAAAGTGGAGATGTTTGACCATGATGCACAGCGGGACATTTAGAGAAAACCAAACACAGCACATCAGCACAAACACCTCATACCCACCAACATATCAAGCACAGTGGTAGAAGGGTGATGATTTGAACTTATTTTGTAGTCACATGTCCCCCAATCGTTGCGGTGACCACCAAGGTTTTTCAAAGGTCCAATTAAAAACCCAACTAAACTACTATAGACCTTGAGAGCTGAGCATAAAAGAATGCCTGCAGCTGAGATCTGAAGATATAAAGATGAGTGGCCCAAAAGGCCTCCACAGATAACAGACTGATAGTCTTACAGAAATTTACATCATATTATTGCTGCTAAAGGTCCTGCAAGCTACTGAATCACAGTCTGTATTTAGTTTTTCACACCATGCTTCTGCATTAATTTCTGAGGATATTTAATAGAAAAAAAATGTTGGACTAATAAATATACACTAAGCACTGATTACACATTCATCCTTTAAAAATATATAGGAGCGGACACTGGTTTGTGGAAGCTGCCATGTCACTCACCTAGACCACTGTCTTGAATACA